AAATGTAACATTTTATAATAAGTTTCACAATCGGTTTTGAAAACTAACTCCACGAGTTAGACGGTTGGTTAATACGGATTTCAATGTTTAAATCATATTGATCATGTAGTTATGTTATACGAAATAATAGATTTGAGTACAAGTTTCCATGTACTTTTGCTTGTATTCCCCCCCTCAAAACATGAAAAACACAGAAAATGGTGTAGGGGTATGAACTCACCTGACGAGAATGTGCCGATTTAAATGCTAAGTATTAGTTTAGGGCTTGAACACGCGCGAGGTTCCTATGTAACATGAAGAGATACATAATTGTATCTAATTAGACTTTGATTTACCATGATAGTAGGATAATACACTCCAAGGCACGAAAACACTTCAATTCAAGTGTTAGGGATGGTACGGGTTGTATCTAAGGAGTGTAGGGCCTAGATAAGGTGTTTACTCTTCAAGTGTAAACCCTTAGGGGAGTTTACGGTCCAAAGACCACATCCCCCATGAGTTTACGGCCGTAAACTCATGGGTGTGGTGGTTTGAGTGATCCAAGGTCTCATCTTGCACATAGGAAGTATCTAAGGTTGATTCCATGGCTTAGGAAGTGATCGGGACATGAAATGGCCTAGGGATTAGGGTTTACGGTCCTTGGACCACCCTTGGGGAGTTTACGGTCATAAACTCATGGGTTTACGGCCGTAAACCCACCTTTATCCATGTTTGTTCATTTTCCATGTGTTTTGGTGGTTTGTAGGCCATTCATGCAAGTTCTAGACTCAAATACAAGCCATGCAAAGTGTTTGGAGCATTAAAACACCCTTGGAAGGTGTTTACAGTTTTGGGAGACGTTCCCAAACCGTAAACTCAAGTTTATGCTCATTTGGACATGTTTTAGGGTTCTAAGATCATCCAAGCAAGTTTCAAGGCCATTAGACATGCATTGGAAGGGTTAAGGAGCATCAAAACCCCATGAAAGGGTGTTTACGGTTTTTGAATATTCAAGAACCGTAAACTCATGTTTATGGCCAAAAATTCATGATCTTGTGGTTCTAACTCCATGCATGTAAGGATCTAAGCATTAGAAGAGGTTTGGAAGGGTCTTGGGGCTTCAAAACCCCCATTGAAGGAGTTTACGGTTTTTGGGAGGCTCCCCAAACCGTAAACACGAGTTTTTGATGCATTTGAGAGTTTAAGACATGGATTTGCATGCATGTTAGGATAAACAACTAGTTAGGAAGGATCACTTACCAAATTGGAGCTTGAAAGTGAGGATTTCTTGAGAGAGTTCGATTTCTAGAGAGAGAGTAGAGAGAGAAAGTTCAAGTGTGGGAAAAGCTCAAATGGTGGTCACTCCACCCTTTTGTATGTCTAGAATTAGTGACCCGGTGGGAATACACCCAATACCGGCATTAAACGGAGCTTAATATTTTACCCGGGTAAATGACCATTACCCGTATTAGTCGTAGTCTAGAAATTCCCAAAAGATTATTTAGAGTGTTTTCATTCAAATAAATATTTCGTTTCAACACATAGGAAATTATAATAATAATTCTAAATGAATTATTAAATTTGAAAGTTAACGGAAAACCCAAAATAAAATAAATTTTATTAACGGCATGGGTTATGTTAACGGAATATCTTTCGGGTTGTCACACCTTTAGTCCCCGCAGTTTCAATTAATTCCTTTAATCACAAAATTAATTCCAAATTAATTTCTGATTAAATATTAATTAAACAATATGATTTCTAATTAATATATTATATCCATAATACATTAATAAATTAATTTATTAACCAAGTAATAAATTAATAAATCATTCTTCTCTCTCCAACAATAATCCTATTCAATTGCCAGGTTTGAAGGCAACCCAAAAGGACATTGCTACTATCAATTCAAGTACATACCAATTATAGTTATGGGCTTAGACACCTAATCCAACAGTATTATGGTCATTCCGATTTGTATTCTACTCGCGACCACCTCCTTGGCCACGTCCACGACCTCGGCCTCGTCCCCGGCCTCGGTTACCATCTCCTCCTCGTCCTCTTGAAGTGTTTGACGAGTTTCTCTCGCCAGTTTGCTTCGAACGAGATGCCCACTCGGCATGTGTAAGCAATAGAGAAGGTCCACCTTCTTTTTCTCCATAGCTTCGAAGTCTCTCTTCATGGGTCTTAAGACGACCCACAACTTCTTCCACCGTCATATTCTTCAAATCTCCAAATTGCTCGATAGATGTTACGATTTGTATAAATCGTATCGGTACGGATCGCAAAAACTTCTTCACAACCGTAATTTCTTCAATCTTTTCACCTAGAGATCGAATATCGGTTACGATAATATCCAATCTCATGGCAAAATCATCTACCGATTCACTGTCTTTCATCCGGATTACCTCGAAGTCACTTCTCAAGGTTTGAGATTTAGCCTCCTTGACCCGATCGGCTCCCATGTGCATCATCTTAAGCGTTTCCCATGCTTCTTTAGCTGTGTCCTTCTCAGCTAACATCAGAAGTACGTCCTCTGGAATTGCTTGATAAATAGCCGCAAGAGCCATCCGATCTTTACGTTCGTGTTCTGCATTTTTAATTACATCCCATACTCCTTGTGCTTGTAAATTCACTCGCATTTTTATGGCCCACACAGCGTAGTTCATCTTCGTGAGCATTGGATAGTGTAACGTAACACTACCGTCTTTCCCGGTCCTTTGAATACTTTCAACTTCGGCTTGAGAAGATGACGAGGTTGGTGTAGTCATTCTTGGCATAGCAGCTCAACATGGGTGGGTTGTCCACCATCTCGATGTCAAGTCGGCTTTTCTCAATGGAGATCTCAAAGAGGAGGTTTATGTCACCCAACCAGAAGGATATGTTGATAGAGCAAACAGTCACAAGGTGTTCAAGCTTTATAAAGCTCTTTATGGTCTACGACAAGATCCTCGAGCTTGGAACATTCGTTTGGATAAAAGCTTAAAAATGCTTGGTTTTACAAAAAGTTCACAAGACCCAGCTGTTTACAAAGGGAAATCAAAAGACAAAATTCATATTGTTGGTGTCTATGTTGATGACTTGATCATTACCGGGTCGAACACTAACGACGTTGTCGAATTCAAAGAACAAATGAAGAAAGAATTCGAAATGAGTGACTTGGGATTACTTTCTTACTACCTTGGAATCGAAGTTTCAAAAAAGAAGTGGGGAATATCTTTGCGACAAACGGCTTACGCAAAGAAGATTTTAGAGCAATTTGGGTTGCTAGATTGCAATCCGATAACGTCACCAATGGAACCTAAGTTGAAGGTCAAGAAGGATGAAGATGGTGAAAAAGTTGATCCAACTGAATATAGGCGAGTGGTAGGTTGTTTGAGGTACTTGACTCACACTCGACCATACCTGTCATTTTCGGTTGGAATTGCAAGTCGTTTCATGGAGGAACCAACCACTTTGCATTTCCAAGTTGTGAAACACATCTTACGATACGTAAAAGGAACCGTTGATTATGGACTCAACTATGGAAGAGATTGTGAACTTGAAGATTTGGTTGGTTTTACCGATAGTGATCTTGGAGGTGGCCCTGTTGATAGCAAGAGCACAATTGGAATGATTTTCTATCTGGGAAGGAATGCGATAACTTGGAAATCCCAAAAGCAAAAGATTGTTGCTTTGTCTACGTGTGAAGTCGAGTTCATGGCAGCTACAACAGCAGCATGTCAAGCCATTTGGCTTGCTAATCTCGTGAAGGAGCTCACGGGACATCATATCATGCCTATCACCTTATATGTCGATAACAAGTCAGCAATTACATTGATGAAAAATCCCGTGTTTCATGGTCGAAGCAAACACATTGACATTCGTTATCACTTTATACGAGAATGTGTTGAACGTGGGCAAATTATAGTGGAATATGTCAACTCGAAGGATCAACGGGCGGACATCTTTACAAAAGCTTTAGCATACGTGAAACATAGTGAAATGCGAAACATGATCGGCGTGACGAATCTCGAGCCAAGTTCGGTTTAAGGGGGAGAATGTGAGTATAAACCTGACTTGTGTGACTTGGGTGTGAACCTGCCATGAGTAGCTGCACCACCCTCCTTTGTTGACAATAACAACTAGAAATGACAGCTTCTTTATTTCATACGATGAACACAATAAATTGACACAGTACTTATAGTGGCTAGCTTTAGTATAAATAGATGTTGTAATCTGAGTTGTAAGGTACCACAAAAACAGAGAGTGACAGAGTAAGTATTTGTAATAGAGGGTTGTTTTTTTTTTTGAGATACGAGGACCAATATGAACTTTTTAGAAGTTCAGGGGGAAAACATAACTTTTACAGAAGTAAAACAGGGGCCAAACTGAAATTTTTCTAAAAAACGGGACCAAAATTGCAATTTTTCTGAAAAACAGGGGCTAAATTGCACTTTTTGGAAGAACAGGGGCTAGACTGCAACTTTTCAGAATCGCTACAGTGATGATGACGTCACTGGTGACGTAACTGTTATAGTATCGTCTTCTCCGGCATACTGGTTTTTCGGCGGGTTTTCCGGGAAGTTTGACCAACTTTGACCGGTGATTTGGAGACCTTCCAGTGGTCGAAAAATCCAAAAAGATATATTTTCGGAATCCTCGGAATGAGACCTTTCTAACGGTGTACTCCGAAATTGTTTTTGAGACAAAAAAATTTCGACCAAAAAACAGAGAATACTTCCCCGGAGCATAACCAAGCTCTTATACCACTTGTTGGGTTGAAACACACTTTTATTCAGAACTAGAACAAAAGGAGGAGCTTACTAGCTCAGTTACAAGAAAAGAAAAACAACCCTCTATTACAAATACTCACTCTGCCACTCTCTGTTTTTGTGGTACCTTACACCTGAGATTACAACATCTATTTATACTAAAGCTAGCCACTATAAGTACTGTGGCAATTTATTGTGTTCATCGTATGAAATAAAGAAGCTGCCATTTCTAGTTGTTATTGTCAACAAAGGAGGGTGGTGCAGCTACTCATGGCAGGTCCACACCCAAGTCACACAAGTCAGGTTTATACTCACACACTGGCGGCTGCCTCGCCGGACTCTTCTGATTTCCGACGTGCACTCTGCCCGCTGCCGCTCTCCGCCTCTCCTTCTCCGGCTCTTCAGTATCCTCTGTCTCGCCGCTCTTTTGTCTTTCTTTCTTTCTTTATTTTGTCTCACTGAGACCTATTATTATATCAAATTAATATCCAGACATTGAGCTATCTAGTGTAAATATGAAAAAATAGGCCTATAATAGCTAACTTCTTTATTAATAAATCAGTTATATATATATATATATATATATATATATATATATATATATATATATATATATATATATATATATATAACTGATTTATTAATAAAGAAGTTAGCTATTGCAGGCCTATTTTTTCATATTTACACTATTATTATAGGCCTATTTTTTCATATATTGTAAATGAAGGTATGTTACGAAATAAAACCGGAAATGATTTTTTGAGGGACTCTTTGTTTTTATATTTTCTTTGTTTTGTATTTTAAAAACACTAAATATCAACGATTTCTATTTGCACATTCAATGTAACAATATTTTATATTAGTTTTTTTTTCTTATATTTTAGTATGCCATAATTTTGAACCAAAATTTTCTTGTTTATATGGTTATTTTTTGAAGTTTTAATTTCTGCCCCCTATTTTTTGAAGTTTTCATTTCCACCCTTGTTCATTAAAATCAACTTTAAAAAGAGAAATATTCCTACTAACTATAAAAGTTAATTAGCGTTTTTAAGAACACTTTTGTTTTAAATGAAGAAATATCAATCTTTGATTAAAGTTTCTCTACATATACACAATACATATTTCAGTATTAACATACCATCACTACCTAGTTAGTAGTTACAGAAATATGAATTCGTATTTGGCTATATTTTATATTAATATCATGTTCTTTTATTTTGATGATTTGTTTCCAAAATAAACACCTCAATTCCAATTCTGTGAAGAGTTATTTTCGTAACTTGTTTTGAGAAAAGGAAACAAGGTTTGGTCTTGGCTACTTATCACCATAATATATTCCTTAAGGTTGAATATTGAGTTTATCATATAGCATTATAGTATTCATCTCTCGGATATTCTTACAAATCTTGGAATTCAAAGTGCAGTCCTCCCTCCCTCAAATCAATCACCAAAAACTTGCATGAAGATCAACAAAATGATCACATCAAACCCAATATCTTTCTTCATCCTACTGGTAATTAATTTCCTGTCACAACTCAATAATCGTCTTTGGTTATCATTGAGTCATCCTTGTGCTAATAATTCTGTAGGCAATAACCAGCCTGCTGCTTCCTACCTTGATAATCCCATTTTGGGTTTTAAAAATCAAAGCAATTGAAAAGGAAGTCGATCTGATCACCAAGAAATCTCATGAAGAAACATGGTCTGTCATACAACATGCAGCAACGACATTGCTTCCAATGAAATCATCAGCAACCAATTTAGCTAAACTTGCAACCGTTTCTCTGAGTAAAACAGACCTCTCATTCTCTCACATAGAATCTCAACTGTCTCCTTTGCTGTTTCAAGCACTGTTAACGATCCCACATCTGTCACAAATTTCTTATATCACACAAGATGGCTTGCTCTTTGCATTATACTCCAACAACCACCAGCAGATATTTTCTATATATTCTAACACTTCGTTTTCTAAGCCCACAAATTCTAGAAAGGGTTATTCATGGTACACTCAGCCTGTTGATTCGGATACAGGGAAGTTGTATGGGGATGCAGTTGTGTTTCCATCTCAAGTTTTGGTTAATGAAACGTGGTTACAACAAGCTTTCAACTCTACAAATGGATGTGCTTCATTAGGGAAGTCATTGAACGATGTCAATAATTTGCTTGTCTTGAATACAGCTGGTGTGGATAAAAATGGAGTCATCTCACTTGGGTTTCACCTCAAATCGTTAATGAATGTGTTCTCTGGCATTAAACCTTCTGGTGGAGGTTTGTACTTGGCTACAAAAGATGGTAATGGTCTAAGAGAAGTGGATGGGAATAAGACAATATCTTTTCAGCTATGGAATGGGAATTCACAGATTTTGAAGATTTCAGGAACAAAATATATCTTGTACTCTTCCTCCCTTGACATCATGGGAATGGAATCGGTATAAGAATCTTACATTTTTCTTTTTTATATGTATATTTATATGTATATGTATCTATTAATTTCTTGACATTAATTATGGAAAATTTTCAGGTATATGTTTTGGCATTACCATATGATGGTGGAGCGGAAAGCAGGATGCATAAGAATATATTAATTGTTTTGTTGCTTCTTTCACTGCTGTTTGTGACTGTTTGTATCTCCATTTTCAGTTTCGTGGTGTTAACAGTGAGAGCAGCAAGAAAAGAGATGTGCCTAACAGCTGCTCTTATAAAACAGAAGGGAGCAACACAGCAAGCAGAAAGAAAGAGCATGAATCAGAGTCTTGCATTTGTTACAGCCAGCCATGATATTCGTGCTTCATTAGCAGGCATTGCTGGATTGTTAGAGATGTCCATCAACGAGGTCGATCAAGAATCAGAATTAGCTAAAAACCTGAAACTTGTGCAGATTTGTTCAGGAGATCTTTATGGTAAGCTCTCAATTAACCATTTCATTTATATATATATATATATATATATATATATATATATATATATATATATATATATATATATATATATATATATATATATAAAATCATAACTAAGAATGTATGTTTATGTTATGTGGATTAATCAGGTATACTCAACTCTATTCTTGATACAAGTAAAATAGAAGCTGGGAAGATGGAGCTGGAAGAAAAAGAGTTCGACTTGACAAAAGTAGTTGAGGGTGTGGTTGACTTGTTCTATCCTGTTGGTCTGAAAAAGGGAGTGGATGTGATTTTGGATCTCCAAGTCACCAAATTTTCTCAAGTCAAAGGGGATGAAGGCAGGCTTAAACAGATATTGTCAAACTTACTCAGCAATGCTATCAAATTTACTTCAGAGGGCAATGTGTATGTTCGTGCTTGGGCCAGGAAGCGTAGATTGCAGAATTCAAGACTCGCACATGATGGAGAATCTACAGGATGCTGCTTGTTGTTCAGAACCACCGAAGCGATAGATGAAGTCCATCACCATCACCATCACCATGATGATCCTAATTCCATGGAATTCGTATTTGAAGTAAACGATACTGGAAAGGGTATTCCCAAAGAGAAACAAGCGTCTATCTTTGAAAACTACGTTCAGGTCAAAGAAACGGAAACGGAAACGGCTCCTAAAATTGAAGGCACTGGCTTAGGCCTTGGAATCGTCCAGTCTCTGGTAACATTAATTAACATTTAACGTTTTCATTCTCAAGTAAACAAAAAGATCTGATATTGAACAATTAATTGCAGGTACGATTGATGGGCGGAGAGATAAGCATAGTTGACAAGGAAGTGGGCGCAAAGGGCACATGCTTCAGGTTCAATGTTGTGTTCAAGGTTTGTGTATCTGATCTCAGTGAAGACGACAAGACTGTGAAAAGCTCTCCTCTTAAACAAGGCTATAATTCTTCTATAGTTGTTCTCTTCATTAGCAGTGATGAAAGGCGTAAGATGGCACAAAAATTTATAGCAGCGCAAGGAATTAAAGTTTTAGCAGTGAAAAACATAGGCCAACTTTCAGAAAGTCTCCGGGAGTTCAGACGACAAGAAGAGGAACAAAACAGATCATCATCTGATTTAAGTTTCAGTTTTGGGTACCTGAACTGGCCTACACTCACATCAAATGGAGTTGAAGCCCGAAAAAGGAATGATAATGAGGCAAGTCGTGTACCAAATTTCATATTGCTTGTGATCGATACAACACGGGTTGACTTCAATGAGCTATGCAAAGCAGTTGCTGAATTCAGAAAAGACTCCAAGAATGCGTGTTCTAGAATCGTATGGTTAGGTTCTAAGTGCATTCAACTCCAAGGCCTCGACCAGAAGAAGCTTCCCCCGTCTGACATCATCATACCCATGCCACTCCATGGCTCACGTCTACACTCGTTGATACATCTTCTTCCAGAATTCGGGGCACCAACACATGCAAATCATCTGCAAATGACAAAACGGAATCGCACCCAAGAAGAGGAGGAAATTGAAAGGTTTTCGATGAGCAGTAGCAGCCCTTTGAGAGGGAAAAAAGTGTTGGTGGCAGAAGATGATTCTCTGCAGCAGATGATAGCCAAGAAGATACTTTTGAAGCTTGGCCTCAGTTTTGAGATGTGCAGAAACGGGAAAGAAGCTTTCACCACGGTCACCAAAGGGCTAAGTCATCAAAGAAACCTCGGAGCTTCACATATTCTTCCATATGAATATATCTTTATGGATTGTCAGGTAGGTCAAATTCTTTTTTTTTTTTTCCTAAAAAATTTGGATCTTTCATATATGAATATAACGTGTAGATGCCGGAAATGGATGGTTGTGAAGCAACAAGACTGATACGACTGGAGGAGAAAGATTATGGTGTGCACATCCCGATCATTGGATTAACAGCACATGCAGAGGGGGAAGAACTAAACAAGTTTATTGAAGCGGGAATTGACATCAATATATCCAAACCACTAAACGAGAACAAGATATTAAAAGTGATCCAAGACCTCCACACAAGATATTAATTGTTGGAGTTGGAATAACCCAACCCAACCCAAATACAATCTCAGTTTGGTTTTAACTTTTAACAAAAAAGAAAAAACATGGAGAATACTTCCCCTAAAAAGTAAAAACTATGACCACTTGCAAAAGATCCTCTGCTGTGCAGATTGACAATTCTCTTTGAAACCTATTTTTAATATAAACTGTGTTTGTAATAACAGATAAACAACCAAATGATTCTAATATTGATTGAAATTCAATAATACCCCAAAGATTACAAGAACTAAAGATAGATTAGCTGCCACTCTCCAAGAGGAAATAAACTCCCTTGCCCACTACCCTCTTATACTATCTATCTGACATAACAAACTAAATACTATAAAATGCCCCTAAAGCCCTTGCACTAATATGCTGATTTCCCATCTTACCGGCCCCTTTCTATAAAGTTGTAGGTGAGTAAATGCCTGAAAGAACCACCTTGTCCTCAAGGTGGATATGATAGCAATTTCCCAACCTGAAAGAACTCCCTTATCTTTGACTATACTCTGATCTGCATTGACCAATTTTCTTTAACATCGCCATTCCATTCCATCAGCACACTCCTTCAGCTTCCTTCCCCAACCGACCATACAAGTGTAACAGCAGCAGGGGCTTCTTTGGTTGTCTTCAACCTGTTTTGGCTGTCTTCATAAGTTCCTAATTTCAGATTCTTGGAGAATGTTTCATAAATCTTGTTGATTGAACATGTCAATGCATTTCTTGATGGGATTCTTTCTGAAACCTTTCCAAGTTGTGTTCTGTTGAAGCATCTCATGAGATATGTTGAGTGGTAAGTCACAACGCCCTTCACAAAACCAACCAAGCCACTCGGGCCTCAACTCCTCATAATTGTCCATGATGAATTTGAGTTGTCCTTGGAAAGAGAAGCCTGTCGTTTTGTAAAAAGAAGCATACTCTTCCTTGGTTTCATTTTATCGATGAGATCCCACTCTTTAGTGTTTTTCGTTGTATCCTTCTCCTTCTCTGTTGTTTTCTCTGTCCCAGGATAAACTAGGTAGCTGAGAGAAACTTGGAATGCTTCTCTAACGGATCCTTAATCCTCCTCTTCTTTGAATACATAACTTCAATTTCAGCTTCCTTCAAAAGATTCATTCTTCAACTGAGCTCCATAATTATGCAAATTAGCTAACCTCTTTATCTCCTTTCAAACATTCTCTTCTTTATTTTTTTCCTCACAGTCCATCGATTTGACCTCTTTTTCTTCCCATCCTGACTCTATACACTTACTTTTTATGGGTTGAATCGTGTTCATGACCATGTCAATTTCATGTTTTGCATCATCAAGCATGTTCTGATTCTTCTCATTGAAGTGCATGTTTCAGATCTTTTATTTTATTTGTTCCTTATAGATTTCAATGTTCAAGCTCATTAGAAAGCACTTTTTCTTTTGCTTCGCTTACTTCTGTTGTAACTACAAGTATCGCTGAAAGTAAGCCCTTAAAAGTTTTCTTGCTCTTTTCTTCTTCATCTTTTGAAGTTGTGATTTTATTCTTCCCTTTTATATTTGTCTGAACACTGCTAGCTGTACATTTGGAATTGTTCAAAGACTCTATTCTTTCCTCTTCCAAATCCTCAAGCTCTGATTTAAGTTCAGTTTTCTCAATAGCAGCAACCACTTTCTGTCTATCGAATAGAAAAGCATAAGCACAATTAAGGTCATTTTTAGCCCCGGTAGCTGATCCATGTTGAAATGTTGGGTTGTTTTCCATCGTTACAGCATCAGCTTGAGCCTTACTAGTAACAAAACCAGGCATACTGAATTCCTCATTGATTTGATTTCCTTTTGCAGTAGAAAATCCAGTGGGTGGCCTGACCCTTGCACACAAGTGAGGCATAACATCACCAAGTGAAACAAATGGTGAGTCATTTGGTGCATTTGCAAGACGTGTTTGCAAATCTATACCAAAATACCCAGCCCTCAAACCAACTAATGTGGATCTTTGTAGAAAAGAACCATATCTCCAGGAGATGGTTGGGACAGTATACGGATTTCTTTTTCTCCTTCTAAATGTCTAGATGGTTGCATGTTAATAACCAGATCCTGGTGTCGGTCCTTCAACGAAGACTGGAGGTAGAGATGCACAAACCTCGGATCCGATCCGGTTCGATGACGTCAAAGGCAATCCGGTTTCAGCGAAGATCCAATCCGGTTTTGACCGGTTTTCCCTCCCCCGAGTCCGAATCGGTTTAATCCGATCCGGTTTGGATCCGATCCAATTTTTGCAATTTTTTTTTTCAAAAAAAATATGTTTTGGACCTCATATATAACACAAAATGCAACATAGGTTCATTAAAATAGTTAAAACATACATCAAACGTCGAATTAGAAAGTGGTGGCATTTCTTTGAAATATTTGACTAATTTTTGTCTCATTGGTCTCGTAACCAAAACAAATATTTCACTTCTTTGTCCAAAATGCTCCAATTGCGCGAACATCAACCATAATTCATTTAGTAACAACGGACTAGTAGGTAAATACACGCCCGATAAAAAAAGTGGTTGATTGTTTAAAAACTTTTAACATTTCCACAAACTCTTCCATCAAATCCCAATCAAAATCCAAAATCAGGTTTTTTCCTTTTGAAATTGTGTCGTAAAATAACTGCAAAGCGATTCTTTGACGTGTTAAACTTTCAAACATCATGCACGTCGAACTCCATCTAGTGTCAACATCCCAATGAGGACTATATGGAGTTACGTTAATGGAAATGACAAACTTTCGATATTTTTCCATTGTAGCTTTATTTTTTCCAAAAATTCTAGTTAACACAGATTTGAATTTTTCAATCATCGAATCTATCATTTTTAAACCATCTTGTACCGCAAGATTAATAATGTGACAAACACATCTAGTATGAAAAAACGAGCCATCCAAAATAGATTTATATTTTGCAATTAATCTTTTTGCGGCGGCGGTATTATTACTTGCATTGTCAAACGAAATAGAGAAGATTTTGTCGCGTAAATTATAAGTCTCTATAACGTTTACTAAAATTGCAAATAATTGTGCCCCCGTGTGAGGATGTGCAAAAAGTTCAAAAGCAATAACTCGTTTGTTCATTACCCAAGTAGAGGGATCAATCAAATGTGTCGTGACGGCAAGATAGCTTTTGGGACAACTTCCGGTGGAGGACCAAACATCACAAGTTAAAGAAACACCGGTTTTTATATTTAAAAATCTCAATTGCATATCTTTTTTGGCTATATCCCAATACTTTAAAGCATCACGTCTAAGAGAAGTGCGACTTACTTGCCGGTATTGTGGTTGCATTTTTTCCCGCAAAATCCTTGTTAATCGTGGGTTGTCGAAGTGGTTGAAAGGCAAACCCTCTTGAATCACGAACTTGCAAAAGCTTTCACGAATGTCATCATTGTTGTAAATAAAGATCGACCCGTTGAGAGTAATATTTGGTTGATCCGGATCGCCTTGACCTTTTACAACCGGACAAGTTTTTGTTGTATGACTCCTCAACATACTATTGCCATCTTTTCCCAAAAACATCCTGCACATCTTGCATCTCGCTTTTTCCTTCCCGTTCGACAATAAACACAAATCATAATGTTCCCACACTTCTTTATTCCGAGTGGTTGGTATGATTTTAACCACTGTTGCATCCAAATCTTGACCCGCGGTAGAATTTCTCGAGCTCATTTTTTGGAGTATTATGAAAATAGAAGTATAAAGTAGTAGAAATTTGTGTAAAATGGAAATGTAGCAAATGGTATGTATTTATATGTGTTTAGAAGGGCCAAAAAAAGTCAAGAAAAGTCAAACTAGCCGTTTTTCGAGGGTTCCAACGGTTAGAAAAAAAATAAAAATAAAAATAAAAGAATTGAAAATGCCCTTTTTCAAAATAAAAGAATTTCTCTCCTCTTAAGACTCCAACTAGCTAGGGTTTGAGTGTAAGCCATTAGAGGCACGAGACTTCTGGTGCTTGCTTTCTAAAGATAACAAAGAAGGATTGTTAGTTTATTTGCTATAAAAAGATAAAGGTATGATTTTCTTATAAACCTTTCTTAATTTCGAAAATAGCAATGTACTTTTAGGGTTCTTGATATTCAATAGTTGTTTGCAAATCATAGTGAGAACATAGATCCTTTATGATGCATGTGAACTTAGGGTTTATGTTTTTCCACAAAAATAAGATTTTTTGTAACATATAAAACCCATCAATCCTAAGGTTTCATGCTTTATATAACGATTGATATTTATAGATCTAAATATATTTTTCATAAAGCAGTTTGATAAGCATGTATCCCCCCCCCCCCGGTAAAACCTTTAAAATAGTAAAAAGGGGCCGTGAACTCACCCTTGTCGTGTGAGACCACTGGTGTAGGGTTGAATCGGGCTCGGGACTCCGGAGCCGCTCCAAGATGCAGCAACTTCGAGGAGAGGGAGAGTGATTCAGAGAAAAAGGTGTGCAAAATGGGATTTGCACTGCCTTCTATTTATAGGCATGGAATTTAGGTGTGCACGGTGCAAGGATCTTGCACGTCGCGCATGATCATCGTGGCTCCATCCAGAGACGGCCACGTGTCACTTCCCCAATTGGCCACGTCACTCGCAATCTACTCGAATCTAGTGTCAGATGTGCGACAGGTAGAGGCGCGCACCTCGCGCGTACGAAATGATTTTGTAAAAATCACAACTCTTTCGTGCGAGCTCCGACTAATCCCTCTTTATATCTATGTGAAGATCTCAAGGAGTAATACAACTCTCTTTTAGGTTGTTTTAGTTAGTTTTGACTTTCATTTTTGTGCCTAACGGAGGTAAAAATAAATGATTTTACAAAAATCATATCTCTCTCATACGGATCCAGTTTTCGGCATTTTTTTGTCCTAAAGTTTTTACCTCAAGGAGTACTACGAATCTCCTCTTTGTACTTTTAGTCAAAACTCAACCAATCTCTAAGTACCGTTTTGACGTAATTAACTTTAGTTACGCGGTTGATTTTTCTTTTTATAAAATCTATAACTCTCTTATTTGGAGTCGGATTTTTACGAATCTTATATCCTTGGGATCACGTTAACGAGTAATTTCC